ATGTCGTACATAGATTGATAAGAAATTGATTATTTATAGTAAAAACCAAAATGTTATTCAGAATTTGCTTCGCTATGCAGTATGTATTTCACCTGAGATTGTAAAGTGCAAGAACATTATAGTAATATTATCATACAATACAATATTATGAATTTTACTACAAACAATTTTGTTCTTTGTGAAATTTGATAATTTATTTCAGGCGAAGCATGATTAAGATCGGCCACTTACAATTAAATTAATTATAAGGATAATATATATATAATATGATATGTTAATTGTTGTACTTAATTTTCAATGATTCGTTTCAACTTTGTGCATTTTCAAATCGCAAGATCAGATTTAACATTCTAGGCAGCCCGACACGAGACATTAAGAAAATGTCTCGTTATTCTGATTACAATCAGATAAAGGCACTCTTTTTACATAACAAAGTATATTGACCCAGCAAAAGGCTGCAATACTAACGAAAGATACTCGTAGTGCTGATGGCACTAGTGAAAAGTTGACGAATTGTACTGGTAACCAGTACATGCAAGAAGTCTGAAAATGAAAAATTAATAACAATTAATTATGAACTCGTTAAACCGTAAGATATGAATTTTTTTGTACCTTGAACGTTTGTAGAAATTTGGCCTTACATTCGCTGAAAATGTCGGCTTTATTCTCCATTAAACTCATACCTGAAATATTGATAGATATTGAGATTGTGAAATAGGCCAGAAACGTACAAAATGTGATTGCAAATAAAATACATACTGATGAAAAATACCACAATCAATGGTGGAGTAAGTATAAATTGATCAGCAAAAAGTTTCAAAAGAACGATCTTCATTGTCTTGCCTTTGTAAAACGCGTCCAACCATTTATACCTGAAGTAAAAATCGTATCGATTGTTGAGAAACCTATAAATCTTGTCGAAGATTTTTACGAAAGAAATGGAAACATTTGAATCCGACCGATCGTATAAATTCGTGAAAATACAAGCCTATCATCTTCCTTTTTCGATGATTGCAGTGTAATTCGTCGAATGGAGGCAACGATTTTGTACAAAAATTTTAAAGCGTTATAAATGATAAAAGCTATTCATGCAATACAATTACAAGACAATGCAATATAATACATTGTGAGAAACTTGACTTGCTCACTTGACGAATGCAATTTGCATTTCTCATGCGATCATCTTCCAGAGTGTACCGGTACTTGTCGTAGTTTATCTGACATTGGTAGCTATAATAAACTGAAAGAAGCATTAATTGAATAATAAGTAATTATGAACGATATTTAAACGCATTCCCTTAACACAATCGCGTTCTCGTCTTTGTCTTTGAAATCCCTTGTATCTCGCATTGTTCAATGAAATCAAACTAACAGAAAATTAATTGATAATATTTGTATGTGCATGCATTTTATATTATAAAAATCGAGAAGAGTGATAACGATGAAACAGACACAAAAAGCAAAACGTAATTAATGAAGCGATAGCATTGTATGGTGACAGATCTATACAAGTATGTATATGTTATGTATGTAGGAATGAGATCGACTCGGCGAAGATACCATCCATGGAGTACCGGTCCAGCTATGAAGCAACCGTAGATAGCATATCGTTTAAGTTGTGCCCAATTGTAATCGTCATTGTGATCCCTTGATCGCCTTTTCTTATCATCGTCCGATAAAATCAATGGTTCTTTGAATGTTTTTGACCAAGGGAGCGTTTGTATTCGAGCATCGGCCGTGTTAAATTCTTCGATTCTTTCCGACACCGGGGTCGCTACCGGAAACTAGAAGAACCACGATAATTCTTTAATTAGAACTACAAACAAAACTCATGTATAGAAGTATACAAATTCTATGTATCTAGTATATAATATTTTTAGAAAAAAAACAAGCTATTATACATGTACAATAATTTCGTCCTCTTATTCGTTATTGTTATAAACAATGTACAGTAGAGACTCCCTTATTCGAACATTTATTTTTACAACATTCTGATATCTAAATGTTCTATTATCTGTAATCATTATACTGTTCAGATACATTATCATCTAGTAGAGAATTTGGATTAAATTTTTAGATAATAGAATCTTTTTATATCAGTATACATATTACAGAAATAAACCTTCGGACAATAGAGTCTCTATCATACTTTTTGAAAATGAAACATTTATGCGCTAAATGCTAAATGCTTACAATTTGTAATTCCGTGAACTTTCAATTTCGTAGCTTTACCATAATTTGCGATTGAATTACCTTGAATACTTTGTTGTAAGTTTGTTGCGCGAATTCGGCACCGGTATAAAAAGATCCGTATATCATCGAGTTGACAAGTAGCGGTCTCTTCTGCGCACAGATCTTTAATTCTCTCAGTACTTTTGCTACTGCCATGGTTATCTAATGTATTTACACAACGATAGTTTCGTCTGAATTATTTCGTTTCTATGTTTGCTGGAACGAAAATTAACGATGTGTCACCCTAAATCAACAGCGTTATCACGGCATGTGAGCGATAAAAATTGGTTGCCTCAACGAGGAAATATGTAGACAAATAGAGAATATTCTAATCGAATTTTTTATACTTGTTTGGCGCACGTGCAGCGAGTACACGCAAATATTTGCATTTAATTGAAAATTTGTAAATGGGAATAAGCGATAATCAGTATACCGTATTGTATCTAAAAAAGAAATAAAAGAGAACAAAAGAGAGGGAGAGAATACCGCAATGCGACAAACTTTCGCGGATATTGCATACATAAAATGCTTTTACGATTTGAACAAAATATTGAATCCACGTGAATCCTCACATACTTATCCCTATTTTATATATGTAATAGGCTTATTGAAAATATTGAAGAATTAAGAATAAATAAAGTACTTTTCAAAACATTAAACACGTGCATATACTTACCTTAAGTATCAACAACGAATTATGATGAATTGCAATACAACTGTTCAGGACCTATCCTGTTAATGATGACTTTTGAAATGTTTTAAATTAATTTATTACGATATAAATACGATCGCATTATATTAGATACTCGACAAATTTTTCTATCGTTGAAGAAATTATTTTACAACACTGCTTTCCGCAACGTTTTTCAAATAACAATTAATAACGAAACACATGTCGATTTAATATGAAACAATTTAAAATTATGTACGATACCACATGTATCACATTGAATTTTATTTAAAAATTAAATTAAAAATTACATAACTTTCCACTTACTTTTATATTTGCTTAAATAACTAATAATCGCTCGGCACAAAGAAAGAACAACGTTGTTTAGTTTATAACCACTTTTCTTCGTATTTTTAAGAAACTGAACGCTAAATATTTTTAACTGACTCTAAAACGTATCTCCGTTTAATTGAATGAACCGAAAAGTACCGGTACATTAGAAATACTGATCCGAGGAAGATGTAAGCGCGACATAACACGTAATCGGCCATGGACACTTAGATCTAATCAAAACCAATCACGTCCCCGTTGTATCAATTGATATCTCATGCAGAGAATTGTTTGCTATTGCGAAGTGGCATGTGTTTTATATTGACGACAAAGTTGTGTTGTGTATAGTATTTTCTGGTGTTAATGGCATAAAAAAGAAAAGAGACAATCTAAAGCAGGTCTTTCTTTATATTAACTCTCTTAAAAAATATATAACATTATAAACAAGGCAATTAGTTTTCATTGTAAGCGTCGTAATGAATTGCTTCCTTAATTTCAGAATATAACCATCCTCTCCATTCCTGATTTACAGCTTTCTCAAAGGTGCTTTCCTGGAAAACTTGGCTTTTTTCTACCTAGAAATAAATTTAAGTTACAATAATAAATTAAAGTAGAATAAGATTTCTTTTTTGATATTACCTCTCGAAACTGTAATTTTGTAAACATCTTTATACTTCCCTCATTGTCAAATTTAATCTTTGCTCTGTATCTGGTTACGTTTAGCTTGTCAATCCCTGTAAATGAACAAGATTCTATTACATGTGAAATTATTATTACTTTCCACAAAATAATGAAAAGTAAAGTATATACCATACAGTAACATTAAAATCATTGCTTCCCAACCTCTTTTTTTATTTCTATAAGCAACATTTGCTATCATAATTTCAGCTTCAGCGGTATTTACATGATCCGGGTCATTGAAAAATAAATTTGTATCACCGATCATAGCTTCTGAAATTGATAGGTATCATTGTGCAGTGAAGACAAAGACTCGAAAAACGAATGAACTAAAAACGTTTTGTATACCTATTTCGTCGGAGGTCGTGGAAAAAATGGTCTTTTCTAAAATAATGAAAGTGCATTCTGTAACAAATAAATACAAATAATCAGTACAAATGTTATGACATAATATGGAAACAAACGGTTACTCTCACTGTCTTGATCTTGACACCATCGTTGTTGCATACAAAATTCTTCTTCCAACGTTAATGCGACCGAACCGGTGAAATATTGTAATTCTGGTGATTTCATCCATTCGTGATATCTGAAAAAATAATAGTGAAATAATTCAATAATCCATAATGAAAACAAAGAATCCGACAAGTTTGAATGTACATTCTACCACGAGTAAGAGTGACAGACAATTTAAAAATGGCGGAAATTGTTTTAGGGTAAAACATTGTCAATAATCGACCAGTAGTTTAACGATACCAGCCTTTTAACATGTTTTTCCTTGTAAGGTACTAAAATTACGTTCGTGCCAATAATTTTAAGAAATTCGTTGTCTTTCATAATCGAAGATTAGTTGATATCGAAGCTATTGAGGGAATGAATCGACTGCAATATTCAAAATTTAAGAGGTTACGTTCGTCGTTCTGCCATATTGGATGCAAAGTTTGCACTACTGATATGATCTAGGATTCTTAACAAGTAAATTCATTTCTCTTATTTTCTTGCCATTTGTAATTGTAACTCGAGGCGTAGTTGCCGAAGGGTAAAACAATTCGGAAAAGATGGCGTATAATTTTCCGGGTGTACCAACGGCTGCTATGCCACCAATGGGTACGTTCAGAATTCATAACCGTACAACTGTGCCGTTTTTCACATAATTTGTTATATCATTGAACGTGTTACAATCATCTCGTCGAGAGTAAGTGCTTAACTTCATTTAGGAAAATCGTTTATTTCCAGGTATGGGACCTATGGGGCCGCTTGCTCCAATCGCAGGACCACAAAGTTTTATGGAATTAGCTAGTCAAGGATTTCCTCCACTACCACCACCAATACCACTGCCTGGAATGAACGATTCACCTTTAGAATTTAGCACAAATAAAAATCAACCTCCGCTAGCCAGAGAGTCTTCAGATGACAATAACGATAAGAGAAGTGAAAAGAATGATATTAGACGGGAAAGAGAGAATAGAGAGGGTAGAGATAATCGAGATAACAGAAGGTGTCCTTTTTTCTTTCTTTCTTTTTTGCTTTAATACAATATTCTGACATAATATTACATCTGCATTTTATTTACTTTTGCGCGATCGATAATCATAGATCTAGAAGCGAAAGAAGCGACAGAAGGGAGAGAGATCGGGAAAGAAGAGAAGAAAGAAATGATAGGGATAGAAGAGAGGAACGAAGACCAGAAGAACGAAGCGGTATAAAATCCTCGACGAGTAACAATAGTAGTCATAATAATAATTCAAACGGTAATGAACTTCCTCCATCGTCGAATACCAGCGGAACTTCGAATATAGGTGCTCAAATGGAACAAGCTACGGGTGTTTGGGGAATGGGTGTAGGATATCCTGTAATGGGCATGGGTCCTATGGGACCAATGGGACCTATGATGAGCGAAATGACTCTAGGTCCGCACATGGGACACACGCATAGTTACGGTCCTATGAGTATGGGAATGATGTCGCACGACGGTAGTATGATCGGAGCACAGATATTAGGACCAGAACAAATAATGAGCGACGCTGCTCAAATAATGAGCGGTGCCTTACCTCCTCCACCGACGGCAACACAAGGTACCAAAGAAATCATACATTGTAAAAGTTGTACTCTGTTTCCACCGAATCCAAATGCACCGCCCCCAACGACCAGAGAAAGGCCTCCAGGGTGCAGAACAATTTTTGTGGGAGGTATTTCTTCTTTATTTCTTCATCATTGTGTACAATGATATCTTTCTATATTGTGCACTGTATTAAAATGTGAAAATATCTTCATTTTTCAAAATGCTCGAATCGATTGCAGGCTTGCCAGAAAATATTACAGAAACGATCATTCAAGAAATATTCGAAAGATGCGGAGAAATAACGACATTGCGTCTTTCGAAGAAAAATTTTTGTCACATTCGTTTTGTACTTGAGAGCAGCGTCGATGCGGCTATCTACTTGTCCGGGTACAGAGTTAGGATAGGATCTAGCGGCGATTCCGTGAATACAGGCAGGCTACACGTAGACTTTGCTCAGGTCTGCGATCCCCATACGCGTACTATGTTTTTCTGATTGCTTGATCGCATAATGTTGTACTAACATAATGTTACAATTTCAATAAATGTAGGCTAGAGACGATCAATACGAGTGGGAATGCAGACAACGTCAACTACAAAGAGAACAACGACATAGAGAAAGAGTCGAGCAGGAAAGGCAACGAGCTCCGTCTAGTCCACCACCGGTTGTACATTACACGGACCACGAGGCGTCGAACATTTGCGAAAAGATCAAACAGGACGATACATTTATGAAAGCGGTGCAAGTGAGTAATAAAAAATATGTTGCTATTGCGATGCCATGTAATGATAGACGACGCGAACAATTAATTGCTGATCGGTGAACGTATGATTTCAATTGGTTCAGGTTGTCGTGACGTGGCTTGAACGCGGGGACTGTACTAAACGCAACGCCAACACGTTTTATTCGATGATTCAGTCGACAAATTCTCACGTTCGACGATTACTTACGGAGAAAGTTGCGTACGAAGAGGAACTTCAGAAGGCGAAAGAATTAATGAAGGGGAGGATGCAAGGACTCCTAATACAATGTACGTTTATACAATTTATGATTTTTTTGTTACATCACAGCTCTGTACCATTGTACATTTTTTGTGTACACAAGAGCAAATCCACATACATATTGCTTTGTCTGGTAAGTTTTTTTTTGCCATAAAATAAGGACAAGTCCTGCGACAAGCGGGCAAATGCAATTACGTCAGAATATCGCGCGTCTTGTCTTGTGTTAACAAAACCGAGTACTCTACTTCTCTTCTTCTTCTTCTTCTTCTTCTTCCATCGTTGGTAAATTCTGAGACAAAATGTACTATAACGACTGCAGTATTTCGTGTTATAGTAGGTACGAAAGGTACGTTGTTTCTGATATTAAAGATCTTGACATTTAAAGAAGATTCAGAGGCTAGAAGATCAAAACGGACAAAATATTTCATTTGATATCGAATATGAGATACGTATTAATGCATCTTATAGCGAACAAAGCTTGTTCGATAGAAAATCGGGTCGACAATTAAGACGGGTCTATTGAAAAATTGCCTATTTCATCCTTGTTGAGTTCCAACATCAGGTGTACCGTATCGTATAGTATCTTATCGTATCATATTGTATTGTATTGTATTTTATCGTAAGAAATTGATTACGTGACGAGAATGGTCGGTGAATGCACAATCAGGACATCTCGGTAGAAGGATCGATCCAAAGATAGTAGGAGAAAATCTAAGGTGGGTGAAGAAATCCTGTCTACTACTGTCGGTTACTATACGAGTACATCTAGGCGCTAACGGTGAACGAAGCGTCGAACGAAAAAGACAACAGAAGCACAGATCTATCACGAGAATTCATTTCCTAGAGACTTAGTGTATCTAAGAGTTGCATGCTTGCAATGCTAAGGATTAAGGGTGATGGGCTAAACATTTGTCACAGAGACGATATTGTGCTATCATTCCCGCTCAGGCGTGATTAAGAGATTATATGCGATCGTGCATGTTCAGAATACGACGAAAGATGTCATCTCTCGTTTTTCTTTCCATCTATTCTCGTCGCAGGAATCGTAGCTCAAGATCGTCTTAACGTTTACGTTGGAAGACTCTACATGTTGTAAGTTGTTAGGCGTATAAATATTGCGCGTATTTTTCCCGAGGGAAATAGCCAGTGATTGTGACATGTTGAAAAGATTGGCTGATCAGCTGCCGAATCGGAACAACTCAAAGAGGATCTTCGGTATAATGAAACCGGTTCGAAAAAGCTTCGATATACGTTACATGTCTCTCGTATCATACAGGTGCAAGTAATTTACTGACAACAGTTTGTAGAGTTGTATATAGCACGATTTCTAGTGGATTTCACTAAAATACAGTGATGATATCGACGATATCAACGATATCGTTGTTACGATAGCAATAGGGGTTCCAGGCTAATGTTGAGATCTATTCCGTACGGAATGTAAACAATGCGAACATATGTGGACGATAGAATAGAGGGAGGATAGAAAGGACAATCAGAGATAATTCTTTCACAAAGTCAAGCATAGATCGCTATAACGAGTGTAACATATTAGACCAAAACGAACGTAGAGTTTCAAGCAGGGTATACAACAGAAGATTTGTTGTGTTTTTGTATGCAACATGCGACCATGTCATCAACAGTCAGTCAGATTGAACGCGTGTTTACTGCGGCCAGCCACAAGAAGGTCTGGGATCACTTCACAAAGGCTCAGCGGAAGAACATCGAAATGTGGAAGAAACAATCCTCGGTATGTATTTGCATTTTCACGCCAGCAGCGTGACCAACTCACGTTACTTTCTTTACAATTAGACGGCAACGAGATCTGTAATCGATCACGGGCAAAGTCTTATCAACCACAGTCGCAAAGAGAGACATAGCTTTTTTTCTGCATTCACGCGATCAGTCTAAACAAGGATGATCGCGGGTTTTGCAAATTCTTTTATTTTCCGAGATGAAGGTAAGTACGTTTGAGCGAACGTGTTGAAAACGGCTTTTCAAATCTGGTCCAGACACACACGCTTTCTCTGTACGATCGGTCTTGTAAACATATTCGGATTATCGGAATGTAAAAAGGTAACGGACGGGTAGAGTTCCTTCCACTAGTCCCGTTTATGTCGAACGGATACAATTGACTGGAGCGAACAGGTAATCGAACCAACCAATTACTGATCCAAATACTTGTAAGATCGAGCAACGATTCGATTTCATGGATCACGGATGTCGGACGTTTGCTGCAAGACCGCGGAACAAACGCAGGGTACACCTCTCTTCCTTTCTGCATCGGAAGACATTCTCAGGATAACTATTGTTCTTGAAACAACGCACACAAAAGTTTCAACAACTTCTAGGACACACCAACTTTTTCATTCTCACGCTCTCGTTACCCCTCTTTCTTTTATCTTTCTTTCTTTCTTTCTTTCTTTTTTCCTTCCTGTCTTTCACTGTTCTTGTTCAACGAAATGTATTTCTCATAGTGTTTGAGAAGAATGGTGAACTCACAGCTTTTCGGGGCATAGAATCGCACACGTATGTTTCCAATGCGTTATTTAAACGTTATCTCTAAAGCATCGCATCGGTCGAAAAGAATCGCATTACAGTCCCAATGTAGGATAACAATGATCTTCTGTACGAGATTTAAGTTCTATCTGTACGACATGGTGATTCAGACAGGTAAGCGCGCGTCCTTTGTCAACGGGTCTGACTCCTCCACCCGATTATCCGATTATCCGACTATCCGATTACCCAAATTACTCGACTACCCGACTACCGGCCCCTTGACCGCGAATTCTTCACGCTGGAAACCTGTATCGGGATCTCCGACCCCTTGTCGTGCTTCAAAATACTCAAAACCGCGTGCTACCGATTCAATTTCGAAAATCAGAGATTCAGAGATTCAGCGAGACGAATCGATACCGCAAAAAACACATACATATATATACATATACATATACGTATACATATATATATTTATATATATATATATGGCATGTTTTTGGTGTTATCTTTTTCGAACGATTCGAATTGAAATTAATTTGATGACTGATTCTTACGATGGCAGGAAATCAAAGCGGTGCAATTGGAAGAAAGTTTGATGGAGGGCGAAGGAGAAATGGAAGTATCCGACTCCGAGGAAGAGCCGCAACGCAAGAAATCGAGGAATCAATCGGACGTCCATGACGATTCTGAAAGACTGCAGGCACTCAAAGAAGAAAACGACAGTCTTCGATGCCAATTGGAAGCTTATAAAAACGAGGTGACAACGCTTGTTCATCTGGATCGCTGCACGGCAGTCTCCACTCCAACGGAACTGTGCAAACGATTACAGAATCATGTTTTGTAGGTCGATTTATTGAAATCCGAGACAAAAAGCGATATTGACGCCAAGGAGAAACAAATGAAAATGTTGCAGCAAACTTTGAAAGGAATGCAAGAGCAGTTGATGCAATCGAGAAAGCAGCAGGCGCAAGACGATCAAAAGATCAAAGATTTGACCGTGAAATTGAATGCCACTAAAAAGGAAGAACCCAGAGAAAGCGAAATCATTACATTGGATAAAGACGACGACATAAACGAGGAACCCCGAACTCCGAAACAATTAACTTTAACATCCAGTTCGGTTCAAATTACCCAAAAGGATGCTAAACTTATAGGTACTTTCCAAACATTTTTAATTGACGCTTCGTTCTTGAAATCTTTACTTCGAAATTCTGTAAAACCGAGACCTGTCTCACCTTGGGATTTCAGGATTAATAGCGACGTTTTTGCATATTCATCCGTTCGGTGCGAGCGTAGATTATCTATGGTCCTATCTACAAAAAATGGAACCCGGCATTAAACCGAACGAAGTGGAAGCACTAATGCAACGATTTCCACAAGTCTTTAAGCAAGATTTGTTTGGAATTGGAGCCAATATGGAAAGACGTTGGCAGTTTTCAGGTTTCAACGTTTACCGTAGTCATTGAAACTGATGAACCGATTCAATAAGGGATTTTTTAACATTTTGTGAACGGGTTACATCTCCTTTTCTGCAGCTTTTCATCTTCTGATATTCTGTTTAGCGGAAATTTGTTTTAAAATGCAATCGACCTGCCAAAAGTTTGTAAGTTAAATCTGTAAATTCAATTATAGGTTATTCGTTTGATAATTAGTCGTTCAACTTACGAAAAAGTTTCTTAATCTCGCATGGAAGACTGTTGATCCAACGAACAGGATAAGAAAGACAGAACAGTTTCCAGTAGCCTGTATCAATTTGGTAATCGACGATATTAAGTCGATCGAACGGTTACCTGCAATTTCTTGACGGTGTCTTTTGTTCAATTTCGTTGGAACGCAAATTCGTATGTTCCGTAAACAATGCAGACGGAACGTTTCAAATTGTTTGGTAATTACTATTTTTGCGCTATTACGATATTGCGTATATCGACGTGTACATGTGTCCAATGTTGTTACATTTACACTTATCGTATACAAAGTTCAACAATCGATAGATAGGTCCGAAAGTTGAACATATCGTCAACGCATCGTTCTTTTTATATCAACAATTACATATATTTCATGGTTGAACGTATTCGTACGTTTCAGCTCGAGTAATCCTAATAAAAAAATGTTTGATGTAAATTTATTATCAACGCAAGTAAATGTACAAAAGTAGTAGCGTGTATCTTTATATCAGCATATGTGTACATTCTATTTTATTCTATTCTATTTTCGAACAAAACATTATTGCTGTTCTTATGACACACTTCGTATCGTAATCAAATCAATTTTTCAATGTTTTCATAACTATATTGTGCAATTTTATTTGTAGCTCTTTTTATCATCGAAATGAATTTCAAAGTTAAGTCGACTAGGAAATAAAGAAGACGATTGATTTGTATTCGAATCTTACCGATTAGGTTTTCTGGACTTACCAGCAGAGGGCTAAAAGTGAACTGTAGCAGTCAATCCAAGTCAGTCGTCGAAAATTTATGTTCACGAAAAGAACGTAAACACGTTCGTTTTGATTGTGTTCAGTTCTGTAAATCTTTGTCGATACCGATAGCAATATCGATACAGATACGAACCGAAAAAAAACAATATCCTAATTCTCTTCTATTCTGAAACACATATTGTACTACCTAAACACTTGGCGTCCTCTAACCTCGCATACAAGAGTATGCACATGTTTACAATCTCGGATGTCATGAAATGATACACAAAGCTAACACGGATGCGACAATGTGATGCGTATAACGTTTCTTAGGTTAGCCGATTATCTATCTTGGTTTATGTGTACCAAGTAAATTCACAAATATTCCATAATTACGACGTCATTGATGTAAAGAGAGAGAACATGTACGCTGCGAACTCGATAGATTATTACGATATACTTGGCTGTACGAAAGAATCTACCACCGAAGACATAAAACGTGCATATCATGCATTAGCTTTAAAATTGCATCCCGACAAAAATCTATTGGAACCTGACAGAATAAATTTTCAACGTATCTCGGAAGCTTGGAATGTATTGCGCGATCCAAAATCGAGAAGAGAATACGATGCTGTACGAAAGCAAATTGAGCTAGATTCTGAAAATACTCCAGTATACGCAAGAATATTGGTTAATAAACTGGAAACGATTGATAATGAGCAAGACACGTTTGTCTATCGATGTAGATGCGGTGGCCTCTACACAGTTCAAAAGGAGTACATACAGGAAAAGAATCAGTTTGTACACGTTCCATGTTCAGAATGTACATTTGTTATTGTCGTTGAAACATGATTTTTCTGTGAAAAATCCAAGTATTTGATACCGCTTAGAGTTGTCGAAACGATTAAAAAAACGACAAATAACAAAATTTAAAATGCAGCAACATTTTCTATTTCTTATAAAAAATGATACAACAGATAACACATCATTACAAATATAAACTATTGAGCAATATACAAATAAAACACGATTCTTTGAATATCCTAGGTTCAATAATAAAAATTGCATTTACACGAACCATATTTTCGATTACAGACAGTACATGCACATTCGATTTATTTATCTGTTGATAAAATAACATTTTTGTAAAATATATGCAACTTCTATAATGGTAAATCTTGTATGAAAAATTTTATGAATAGTCCTATGGTACCTCAAAGAATTTTAGTATTTGTACTTGTTATTCTTGTATAACCGATTATATAATTTACTCAATTATTCGTGTGTATTGCACAGGAAGTCTGCAATTCTTATTATTGTCCATAGAAAAATCAGACTCGTTGCTAATGTCCAAATTAATATACTTTATTTAAATATTAACGCTTTGATAATCCAATTAAATTACTATCACGGAATAATTCTGGTTGTTCGATGGACTGCCAAATGAATTTCTAATGCTTTATGTGCAGAAAATAATTGAATGTCTGAAAAATATTTGCGACGAACAGAACACTCCTACATATTGTACTACAACCTTTCAATTATCTTTACATAACGTGGAAACAATATCTACATGTATAGAGATACAAAATTAATAAACAATATTCATTATAATTCTTGGATAACTACTTATACTATCAAATAATAACAAAAATTAGTAATCATATCTCGAGCAAATATAACTTAAAATTTCAAGGTATTCGAAAATTTGTAAATATTTTCATATGGTTATTTACAATCAACAATAACTTAACCATAAGAAAAACACTACAATTTTGATACATGTAGATACGTATCGATTGATAAAGAAACGATCGTGGTACAATTTGTACATTTTACAAAGTCGAATAACATTGGATCTTGTTCTCTATATAAAATTATTTCGCAAATTCGTTGCTAGTAATACGTTTGATATTTCAATCAACGAATAAAATAAAAAAAAATATTACAAGTTCTAATGCAAGATAACACTGATACAAATGAAATATTAGAAATCGCAATGATTCTCATAAAAAGAGTCTTCAAATCGAAAAAATCAGATGCATTTTGTTTATGGACACTTTGAACGATAAAGACTGATTACGTGATGTTTGTGAGACAAAATATGTAGGTTGACTGGAAAGCAGCACACGATTCATTAAAAAATTACTCAAAGTGACATTTGTCTTGTCGAATAAATCATATATAATTCTCACAGTAATCAATGTAACTGAAAAATATCTACCAACTTGGTCATTTTATTTCACTGTTATTATTATGTTTATCCGAATTCATAATTTTATTCGAATCTTTTGCTTTTTCTGTGTTTTTTGTTTTATCTTTCATTGGAACCTTCCATTTCGTTTTGAAAATTTGAGATTCTTTAAGCAATATTTCCTTGATCTATAAGCTTGGCAAATACGGTAAGAAATCTTTCTTTCTGTAGTTTAAAAATACTTTCCTAAACGCCCGTACAAATCGTTATGTAATCGTAGTGTTTAACGTGGGCTGATTTCATTTAAATTACTAGCGATTTCCTTTAGATTTCATAACAGCAATAATACAATAGTACACTGATAAGCTCCTCGTTCTTCATAATTTGTTAAGTCTTTGAAATTTCATATTTGTACACCATGATTAATACACTCCATAATTAATATAATTAATGCCATCGGTTTGAACGGTCTACCACTTCGGAGATCATTTACAGCAACTATAGATCACGCCTGACTTTTTCTGATCTCCCTTCAGGTTATCGACATACATTCTTATCACAATCACGCCACGTAATACATGAATCATTGTACAAGAGATTGTTTGCGCTACCTAATCAGAGTATGTACAGAAGTCATAGAGGAGGGCAGTTTCATCTCCAAAAAAGTGCACTATTTTACCTCTACATCAAAGTCGAGTACAAGAAGTTTGGTCTCCTCTGTGCCATTACGGCTACCCACTGCACACACCAGTTTTGTATCACTTGCACGTATTCTCCACACAACACCACCACTTCCACCGCTTTCCAGTGCTACCAAATTTCTTATAAAATCGCCTGAAAAGATCAAATCAATTTTAAAGAGTATTCGTAAAAATGATAACAAATGTTTATTAAATTTTCCAACAAAGCACGAACGAACCAGTTTTAACGTCCCATAATTTGACCGTGCCATCGTCGGACGAAGTAATCACAAAATGACTGTTAAATTGGAGACAAGTAACTGCAGATTGATGTTTGTTTGGACCAGAAAGTGTTTGAAGACAATGGCCACTAACAATATCCCAAACTTTCACTGTTGAATCCGCATTTCCAGACACCAAAATATTATTACGTAATTCCATTCCTGATGTGAGCGATTGATGTCCCATTAAAGTATGCCTACATGCACCAGTTTCAACTTCCCATACTCTTATGCTTGTATCCAAAGAACCGCTAACAACGTGTACACCATCAAACTGACACAAAAGAAACAGATCATATAGAATGTGGAACAAATAGATCGATCAAAATTGATCTCAAAATCTTTTCTTTGAAAACCCTGATAAAATGTTATAATATGAATTATTAAACGTATCGTTACACGTATAATATTACTTACTTGGAGGGAATAAACACGATTAGTATGTCCTTGTAGAGTATGAAGGCACTCCTCACGTTCCGGATTCCAAACTTTAACCACATAATCGTAAGCTCCGCTGACTACCAACTTTCCATCATATTGCACACATCTAACAGCTGCCAAATGTCCCACGAGCACGTGTAAACATTCACCGGTATCTACTTGCCACACCCTTAACGTAGCATCCCTACTGCCGCTAACCACTTTATTACCATGCAAATGCATACATCTCACTGTAGACGTGTGACCGTATAAAGTATGAATACATTGGCCAGTTTCAGCGTTCCATACTTTTAATGTACGATCTGTACTACCGCTAATGACAGTAGTACCAGCCATTTGAGAGGACCATACACCACCGGTGTGACCTACTAATGTTCTCAGACACTACAAGGAAGTACATACAGTGTAATAACGACAAGCAAGAAGTAACCAAAATTGCATGACATAAAAAGGCATCAATCAGTTTACCTTGCCTGTGACAGCAGACCACACTTTAAGAGTATTGTCATCCGAACCACTCACTATGCGATTACCAGAGAATTGGAGACACGTAATCACATGATCGTCGTGACCTTTTAAAACTTTGGGTGTACGAATTGGTTTCGTTCTCCAATTCATTTTAATATTGTGCTGTCTCATATAAGCTTGCTTCCATGGTGACGATGTATTACCAGAATTTCGACTATTCTTTCGTTTCATAGGAGGTAAATCTCTTAGATTTTCTATTCCAGCCGCTCTGCATTTTTCTTTCCACAACAAATTATCGTCAGCAAGAAATCGCCAATTACGACACGTCTGCGCTGCACGCAGAAGATCTCTTGGCTCTAGGAAAGCTAATACCGATAAGGCCAACTCTTTTGGCAGTAATGATATGAAATCCCTCTGGAACTGAGGTTCTATCACTTGCATCATATGCCGCACTTGCGTAGGTTCGCACCTTTCAATTAATTCATCTATAGCTAACATTCTTTCTGCGTTTGACCACCTCTGCAATTAATATCGATATTATGAAGTTTCATCTTATGTTAAAAATGAGATACCTATTCAACTCTTTAACTATGTCTTCTCATACCTGGAATTGAAGAAGCCAGTCACTCATTTCGGGTGGTGGATTATCTTTTGTTGGAATAACACACCTCATATGTTTACTCTTGTCGTCTAATTTTTTAATGATCCTAAAAATAGTAAACATGTGCACAATAATTTATTGAAAAAAGAACATCTTACTTTATCATTTCTATGGTACTTACATCGAATGTGATTTATCTTCTGGACTAAGTTTTTTACAAGGTAAACTTGATTCTGTTTCGCTTCTACGTTTTCTTTGAGGTTGAACAACATCCAGTGGTACACAGGTATGTAAAATAGGACTCTGTACCCTTTGTGCAAGAGACTGTGTTTGCGATGCAGACAACGAGCAGTTAGTACTGTCAATGTCAGGTTCGCATTCCGTGTCACAGAATATCCCATTGTCACTGATCTAATATCGTTATACATGGATATTAATTTGACAGTGTTAATCCACAATTGCCTTGATGTTTTAACACAGACAGCTGAAAAATAGAACTCACTTCACTATCTTTCTCACTGGTATCGTCTTCTTCCTCCTCGCCGTCTTCACCGTAATCTTCAGACTCTCCATCTTGTAGTAAAACAGAATGCATAGGTTTTAAGGAACTAGGCCCTGGCACACCTTCGGTACCCTCTGCAGGACTTGGACTAATACCACCTGATTTACTGTCAGTTATTTTATTAGACGACGAAGAAGGGACAGACATTACTGGCTTATGTCTGATATATTATATTACCTAGACGCATGAAACAATAATTTTTTTCTTAAATTTAAGGAAAAATTTAATTCTTCTTAGTTTTTGTACACTGTAAGCGACAGAAAAATGTAGAAAAGAAGAAGGATATTGCTATCCATTCAACAAAATTGTTTTAGAAAATTAGGCTATGCTTACAAAATTAAAGGCTATGAAGGCATTAATCGTAAAAATTTCAGAATCGTTCATTCATAGAACTACTACAAAGGAGTAGAATTAAAATTATATGAACTGAAAAAAAGAGTACAAAAGGGCTGAAATCATTATTTCAAGTACATACGTAACGCTCTAGAATATGGATCTGTTTGGACTTAAAATTGAAGATATTACTAAAAACATGTTGACATTAACTACATCCAAAGAATGAAAAATAATCCTTTCAACTGCATACGAATCCTAACCTTAGACGAATCTTAGAACTAAATTGGACTTGGAACATAGCCTAGAATAATAAAAGAACGAACCGGTCAGCCACACCCCTATATTTATGCAAGATTATTGTAAATACCAAAAGAACAAAATAAAAAGGTTAAAGATGAATAGGCAAATCATACTTAGGTTAAATGTTTCTCTTCGGTGGCACCCTTATTGTAAAACTATTGTACGACGGTAATCCAAGTTTCTTAGTTTCGACTAATATTTCTATCATATGGTTGCGGCATGCATTTTTTTGTATTTATCAAAATTTCGCCAGATTCTAGTGCGATAAAATGAACTTTTCGATCGAAGATTTAGGCCAACTCGACTGGTGAAATAAAAATAAGAAACAGGTACAAACACGGAGAAAGATCCATCGGTAGCTCTAAGTAGCCCCGAGGTTTTTATCTCTTCGGACTTGGTGCTTCGTAGACAGGTAGCTGTTGCACATGCGTTCACATTCGTAAGCCGCATATCCACTATTTATCTTCTAGTTATTCTTCGATATACATATTCCGAATTATGTATATATGTATAATATTTTTATACATTTATTAATTTGATAAATGAGTAAATTATACGAGTTTTTAACGAATAAATATTTTATTGATTTCACAATTGAAAGTTGTGGATTGGGATGAATAATCAATTTTTAAAATCGGTAATAAATCTTTTGAAATTATGACTTTTCATAATATAACGTACATACTACTGTTCTACTCTTTGCATACCTCCAGATCGCAGCTTGATCAGTTAGCGAGGGTCGATATAGAAATCTTTTTTGCTCTAATTGGTTGATGATTCACTGCTGAAACAGGATCCATTGCTGATTGGATGCATAGTAAAATGGTGGGGATGTCGCGCCAGCTTACGGAGTAAGAGAAGCGTTCAGGAGTAGATCCTACTAGTGTACATAAAAGTTCAATGTTTATTCGCCTTAATTCGATGCATATCACACATATATATGTACATACTACTGTACATACGTGAGTTTACATATATGTATGTCATTAAATTTGTATTATACATTATGATCGTATTATACATGAAAATTAACTTTTCATTATTACATATTACATATGTTGCTTATGTATATGTTTTTTAAATTTCATATAGATATAGGTATGTGATATTCGTAGTAATGCACCATACAATATTATGTATGTATATACATACGTACACATGAACGTATTCTGAACATTTCGCAGATTCAGTGATCATTTGGGGTGATACGCACGTACTTTGTAAATGGAACTTTATTTAATGCGAAACAAGGAAGGACGCTGCATCACAGATGCAGATTCAAAACTCTTCGGAGCTGTTTAGTGACGAATATGATATGTCAAGCGGTGACGTTGGACAACTGAATTTTGAAGGTTATCAAACGATAGATAAATTGAAATCCACGCATAAAAAGAAATCAATCGAAACAACATATCAATCGATGTGGTAGATCGCCGTCTCGAACGCCACCTTCTCCTTATTTTATCGAGACGTTGCGACGTATCGTGACGATTGTATTCTGAGTTAGGTTAGGTTAGGTATAATTTTTACAATGGCTCTAGGCACGATATTGCAGGTGAACTGTCAAAACTCGTTACTTTCTTTTTTGTATTTAACCACGAACTGAGCTAATAACTACAATCATCGTTGATTCTTTTTTTTCTTCATATTTTATAGAAAGCTATAGATCTAGTTACCAAAGCGACGGAAGAAGATCGCAACAAAAATTATGAAGAAGCGCTTAGGTTGTACGAACATGCAGTCGAATATTTTCTACACTCTATTAAATGTAGTAGTATTGTTTCATTATTTTGGTGTCAGTTTTCGTTTAAAATAATATTAATCTAAGATTTTATGAATCTTTCTAGATGAAGCTCAAGGAGACAGAGCAAAAGAAAGTATTAGAGCAAAATGTACACAATATTTGGAAAGAGCTGAGAAGTTAAAGGCTTATCTAAAGAAAAGTAAGAAGAAACCTGTGAAAGCAGGTGAGGATAATTCTAAAACCGAGGACAAAAAGAGTGATAGTGGAGACAGCGATACAGATAGTGATCCAGAAAAGAAAAAGCTTCAAAGTAAATTAGAGGGAGCAATAATTATTGAAAAACCGGATGTGAAGTGGAGTGATGTTGCTGGACTGGATGGAGCTAAAGAAGCCTTGAAAGAGGCTGTTATTTTGCCAATACGTTTCCCTCACCTCTTCACAGGAAAACGTATCCCTTGGAAGGGTATCTTGCTGTTTGGGGTAACTTTTTATGCAAAAAAATGGTTAACAATTTCACATATATATTTTTTATATAATTTTGAGATATTTCCAGCCACCAGGTACTGGTAAATCATATTTGGCAAAAGCAGTAGCTACAGAAGCGAATAATTCAACATTTTTCTCTGTATCATCGTCCGATTTGGTAAGCAAGTGGCTCGGCGAGTCTGAGAAGCTTGTAAAAAATTTGTTCGAATTAGCTCGACAGCACAAACCTAGCATTATATTTATTGATGAGGTTGATTCGCTTTGTTCGTCACGTTCCGATAATGAATCAGAATCTGCAAGGAGAATAAAAACTGAATTTTTAGTTCAAATGCAAGGTAACAAGAAATTCAATTTCTAATTTAGGAATTTGTGTGTAATTTTTTCAATGTGTAAGCAGAAATGATTTGTCAGGGGTTGGCTCCGACAATGATGGCATACTGGTACTGGGAGCTACCAATATACCATGGGTACTGGATTCAGCAATTAGAAGAAGATTTGAGAAGAGAATTTATATTCCCCTACCCGATGAACAGGCTAGGGTTATAATGTTTAAGATTCATCTAGGAAGTACTTCTCATCACTTGACGGAAGAAGACTTTAAGAAGTTGGCAGCAGTAACTGATGGATATTCAGGAGCCGACATAAGTATTATTGTTCGAGAAGCGCTAATGGAACCTGTTAGACAAGTCCAAATGGCGACACATTTTAAACGTGTAAGAGGACCATCGCCGAAAGATCCTACGGTTATAGTAGACGATTTACTTACACCTTGTTCGCCTGGGGATCCAGCTGCTATTGAGATGAGTTGGATGGAAGTTGAAGGAGATAAATTGTACGAGCCACCTGTAACTATGGTAAGTATGAACACAAATTGCGTTTGCATTAAGAATTTTTGTAACATTCATTGTAATGCACAAACTTTCAAACTTAGAAAGATATGTTGAAATCATCGATGACTACTCGACCTACTGTGAATGAAGAGGATATGACCAAACTAGAGAAATTCAAGCAAGACTTTGGTCAAGAAGGTTGATACTTGGACTTTTATAAAAATGTAAATGAATGTACACTTCCAAAAATATGTTTCAGTTACACGCGCTTGCCTTACATCTTATTTTATTACTGCTACTATTACTACACAGTATTTATATAAAATCACGTGAACTCAACAAGTACTTGTGTATCAGTTTCTCTCTATTCTCAGTTTCTTGTTTTCTTTTAATATCGAATACGCAATAATAATATCATTGTGAGAGCTTAATGCTTGTTCATGAATACTACTTGTCAATGTATAAATATCACCGAATGAACTATATATTTTAAAATGAAGAACTGTTAGATTTCAATCAGTAAATACAGACGATATTGTTTTCTATATATTAATTAGTAGAATATGCGATGAGGAAATTGAAATATGCGTGTTTTCACATAATCTTGTAATCAATGCTATGATTGTACCTAACAAATTAACTGTATCATATGTAGACTTAACACATTTCAAAATGATATTTACAATAATAGTTCAGAAATTTCTTTGTATATTTTATCGTTTTAAATCCTGCTTAGACTTTCTCGCCTAGACGAGTTGTCTATAACATTCTACGTTGCATTCGTTGAAGACAACAATTATAAATAATCAGTTTAAATAATATAAACTGAATT